CTCATCCATAAAATGGGAGCGGTGACTCTGCCAGCCAGAGCCAAGGCGGGTTAGGGTGCTAAGGCCCGTGTGGTGAACGAGGTCGGGCAGGGGGACCGGTGGGGGACCCTCTGGCGCCATCAGCAGCGTAAAGATGGATGGTTGTTGGTGAGACACCCGCAGGCGAGCCCTGTGCGCCTCCTGAGTGCTGCCGTGGTCTCTCCCAGGGAACTGCTGGTGTGTGGACGGGAAGGGACAGTACGTGCCGGCCTCGCTGACTGCCCGCTCCTCCCAGGCCCCCCAGTGTAAGTGGAGCCCACGGATCCCCCTGCTTGACCCTGGCGGTGGGCACTCAGGGCCCCAACCAGGGGAGCTCTGAGGGCCGAACCCCGAGGGCAGCCAGCCCGCGTTTCCCAAGTCCCCGCCCGCGTCTGGAAGACTCTGGCAGGCCTGGCCCTGCCTAGTTTCCCAGGTGGACAGGGGCAGGGAGAGGCCGGGGCGCTGGGCTCCCCCACACCCTCCCTGTGCAGCTTCACCTCCTTCCATGGCTTCAACAGCCACCTGCCGTCTGTTCTGCAGCCCTGCCTCTCCCCGGTTTCTGACCCGGGAAATCAGCTGCCCACTTTGCACCTCGACCATGCTGCCGCCTGCCTGGGCCTTTGTCCCTGAGCCCCAGCCTGCTCCTCGGCCGAGACTCCAGCTCTCTGTGCCGGCCTCCATCCGCCCCAGACCCTGGCCCTGATGTCGGGCCCGCTTGGGCCTGGGCTCTCTGCTCGCTGTCCTGGGGCCCACGCAGCCTGTAAAGAGCCTTTCTCTCCCCGCAGGCCCCTCCGCCTGTGAGAGAGCGCGAGCCAGCGGGCTGCTCTCCAGCTGGAAACAGGCCGGGTCCCAGGGAGACCCTTCCCCCGACGACCTCTTCATCCCAACCTGCCTGGAGGTGAGGCTCCGCGGGCTGGGGAGGCCGAGGAGGAGCAGGCCTTCTCCGCAGGCTGGGGATGGCTTTCCTCGTGTTCAATGCATTTGTATGTGTTTTTAATGTTGTTTTTTTTTAAAATGGATTTTTAGACAGAGAGATAGAAACATCAGCGATGAGAGGGAATTACTGATCAGCTGCCTCCTACATGCCCCCTGTTGGGGATCGAGCCCACAACCCGGGCATGTGCCCTGACCGGGAATAGGGCCTTGATCCCTTAATTACTGGGTTGATGCTCAACAATAGCCACATCAGCCAGGAAATACATTTATTTTTGTTTAAAACTTGTAGGGAGTTCTAGATCGGCATTGTTGCTAGAGTCCTGGCCGAGTCTGGCTGGGTGACCTTGGGCCATTTACTCACCTTCTCTAGTCTTCATTTTGTTTTGTTTTTTTATCATAGGATCGAACCACGTTTTTATCCTACCCGGTGCTAGACTGTTTTGAGGGCCCAAGGAAATATCACTCATGAAAACTCTTTAAAAGTCACTTACACGTGTCTATGCTTTTCCTACAGTTACCTGGGCAAAGTCGTTTTGCAAAGTCCTTGTGTCTTAGTTTCTCAACACTCATGTAAGATGTCATCACATCACCCTCCCAGCTCCTGGGGGTTATAGTAGATCTAATAGTTGGGTGCAGTGGCCAATTTTAGGAATAAGAGCTCCTAGCGAAAGGATTCACGCTAGGATCGCAGCCACTCACGTCCAAGGGATGAAGGCCCCGGGCCTCGGTTCCCTGTCCCTAAAGCGGGTCCGATAGGAACACAACTGGCCTCTGATTCCCGGCTTCACGAAGATCAGTGAGATCCCGAGACTGGACTCCTGTGGCCCTGGCCTCGTGGGTGGTTCTGACCGTCAGTTCAGATGGTGTGAGGGATGGGTCTGGATCAGGGGAGCCGCCCAGGCCACCTCCCTCCACGCGGAGAGGCCAGCACTGGGGTTTGGGAGGGACATTCCTGGTGTCCACTCACTGACCTGTGGCCTCAGCAGCATCTTCCCGGGGCTGACCTAACCTCGGCTTTGTTCCAGACAGGAGAGTTTGCCAGGCTGCAGGCGACGGAGGCTGGCATCTGGTGTGTGGACCAGGCCTCAGGCGAGGGCACCCCGCCCCGCACGAACGGCAGTGCCCAGTGTGAGTAGTCACCCCTTGCCCTTTCCCCCAGCCCCTCCCCATGCACCCTGGGTTTGTGAGTGTGTGTGTCTGTGTGTGTCGGGGGGTGAGTATGTGTTAGTGTATGAGAGTGTGTAAGTATAAGTGTGTGTGTGTGTGTATGTGAGTATGGTGTGAGTGTGTGTGTGTGTGTCTATGTGTGTGTCTATGTGTATATGTGGGTATGTGTGTGAGTGTATGAGAGTATGAGTGTGAGTGTGTGTGTGAGTGTATATGTGAGCGTGTGTGTGTGTGTGATTGTGTGTGTGTGTGTCTGTGTGTATGTGTGGGTATGTGTGTGAGTGTATGAGAGTATGTCTGAGTGTGAGTGTGTGTGTGTGTGTGAGTGTGTGTGTGTGTGTGATTGTGTGGGTGAGTATGAGTGTGTGTGTGAGTTGTGTGTGTGTGGTGTGAGTGTGTGTGTGTGTGTGAGTGTGGTGTGTATATGTGTGTGAGAGTGTGTGTGTGTGTGTGTGTGTGGGTGTGGGTGTATGTGAGTGTGGTGTGTATATGTGTGTGAGAGTGTGTGTGTGTGTGTGTGTGTGGGTGTGGGTGTATGTGAGTGTGGTGTGTATATGTGTGTGTGAGAGTGTGTATGTGTGAGTGTGTGTGAGTTGTGTGTGTGTGGTGTGAGTGTATGTGTGTGTGTGTCTGTGTGTGTGTGGGTGTGTATGTGTATGTGAGTGTGGTGTGTATATGTGTGTGTGAGAGTGTGTATGTGTGAGTGTGTGTGTGAGTTGTGTGTGTGTGGTGTGAGTATATGTGTGTGTGAGTGTGTGTGTGTGTACAGAGCTGAGCAAGGCTCAGCCTTTGCCCTGCCCTAGCTCAATACCCAGTGGGAGGTGGGTGGCTGAGACCCTGGTGGGGCCTGGGACTGGTGGTGGCAGGTGGCGCCTGTGGGTGGCGAGGGCTGTGGGCTCTGTGGAAAGCCTCACTGGCTGGTCTCTGTGTCAGGCCCCGGCCTCTGTGAAGCACCCCAGGGCGGCATCCTCTCCCGGACGGCCAGCCCAGGCTACACGCCGGCCTGCGGGGCCGAGGACGGAGGCCGGTCCCCAGTGCAGTGCAGCCGGGCCCAGGAAAGCTGCTGGTGCGTTCTGGGCAGCGGAGAGGAGGTGCCCGGGACTCGCGTGGTTGGGAGCCAGCCGGCCTGTGAGAGTAAGATGTGCCCTCAGGGCCCCTGGCTGGGGGCGGGGGGTGTCCTGCCCCTCTCTTTCTTCACCCAGGGGGAGGGGGTCTAGAGAACAGGGACAGTGGGGGAGGGGCAGGAGGGCCTGAGGACATGGTGACCACGGATTCCCGAGAGCTGGAAACTGGTGTCCCCTCCCTGCCAACGCACAGCCTGGCGCTGAGGTTAGGTAGCTGGTGCAGCGTCTCTGGCACCAGAAGCCTGCGGGCTGCGGGGCGTCCAGGTCCCGGTCTCCCATCCTGGGGGGAAGCTGGGGGCAGCTGCCTGTGGGGATGGGTCCATCCAGCTGGAGCCGCAGGGGTCCCTGCAGGTGTTGACTTGCTTATGCTTATTTCTAGTTTTGAACGTTGTTTGGACATCGAATATTGAAATATATATCATACGAATATATATCAGAACTATCAGATGACTAGAGATAATTGAATGATCAGTGGCTTACCTTTTATTTGTGGAGCCGCCTCATTAACAAGAGCCCCCCGGAGCTCCTCCTGCTGACCTCCTGCTGCCAGACAGGCAGGCAGACTTGACTGGCAGCTCTCCACCTCCTTGCTGGGTGGCCTCGGGCGTGGCCCTCGACCTCTCTGGCTCTCAGTCTCCTGGTCCACAGTCAGCATTGCGCTGTGGCCTGGTCTTTCCTCCTGGGGCTCGATGCAGCTGGTGATTGGACTCTTGGCTAATTGATAACACGCAGGGCTGCACCAGTGGGCCGAGAGCTTGGGGACAGGAGACCTAAGAAGGCCTGGGAGAGCCATGGAAGGTGCTGGAAAGCTGGAGGAGCTGGGCTGATCATTGAGGGTCAAAAAGGAATCTTCTAGGCCAGTGGTCGGCAAACTGTGGCTCGCGAGCCACATTCGGCTCTTTGGCCCCTTTGCCGCACGAGCCACATGCAGCTCTTTGGCCCCTTCCACAAAATACTGGCTCTTCCACAAAATACCGGCTTCTGAGCATGGCCCACGAAGTTTCAATTGCACTGTACATGCGCGCCCGCACGTGGTATTTTGTGGAAGAGCCACACTCAAGGGGCCAAAGAGCCGCATGTGGCTCGCGAGCCGCGGTTTGCCGACCCCGGTTCTAGGCAGATAAGCAGATGGAGGGAAGGGCATGTCCAGGGAAAGGCAGCCCTGCCTGGAGGCAGAGGGACAGAGCGCGTGAGAGCGAGAGAGAGGCCCGGGTCAGCGGGCACCCAGGGGGCTGAGCGTGGGTGTCCGTCCATGCCCGCAACCCAGGTACATGCCCTTGACCGGAATCGAACCTGGGACCTTTCAGTCCGCAGGCCGACGCTCTATCCACTGAGCCAAACCGGTTTCGGCTTCGCCGCAGCTTCTTGGCCGGCGACGGGGACCGGACTGGATGTGTGAGCGGAGACCTAGTGCCGAGGCCCCGGGCAGGGCACCTGGCGAGGAGGTTTCCCTCGCAGTTCAAGGAAAAGACGGGGGAGGGCAACAGCATGCAGAGAAGGTGAGGAGGCCTGAGCCGTGGCCTCTGCTGGCGCCAGGGCAGAGGAGGTGGGGCCGACCGGGATGCCCACCTGGGACAGCTGGAGGCAGAGGTGCCACGCATTGAGCTCTGGGTACTGAAGCACGAACAGGCGTGGGTGGGCAGCAGGAGTTATTTATTCAGTTATTTATTTTTAATATATTTTTATTGATTTCAGAGCGGAAGGGAGGAGGAGAGAGACAGAAACATCAATGATGAGAGAGAGTCATTGATCAGCTGCCTCCTGCAGGTCCCACACGGGGGATGGAGCCTGCAACCCAGACCTATGCCCTGACCAGAATCCAACTGTGACTTCCTGGTTCATAGGCCCGTGCTCAACCACTGAGCCATCGTGGCTGGGACTTTTTATTATACATGTATCTCGTTATTGATTTTGGAGAGGCAGGGAGGAGAGAGAGACAGAAACATCGATGAGGAGAGAATCACTGATTGGGAGCAGTGAGTTATGACGTGTTGCTTAGAGGTGGAGGGGACCGTGGGCAGCTGGGTTGGAGATGGAAGAAGCTGGAGGTGAAGATACAGAGTCCTCTGTGCTCAAGCACCTGGTCCAACTGAGAGACGGGCTCCTCCAAGAGGAGGGCAGGGAGGGAGGCAGCAGGCCCAGGCCAGGGTCCGAGGAGCCCACACACCCGCAGGCAGGGAAGAGGGGGAGAGAGGCAGGAGTGCCAGCCCCCTAGTGCTGGGCAGATGCCCCCAGCCGCCTCTCTCCTGCTCCCAGGCCCGCAGTGCCCACTGCCATTCAAC